AGGTCCCCATTCTGCTTTAGAGGGTGTCAGACTGACGGGACCTTCCTCCACATATGGTGGGAGTGCCCCAAGATCAGGTGGTTCTGGTCTAGGGTGTATCAGCTAATTTACACGGTAACAGGTCGTTCCTTCCCTAAGGATCCGACTGAGGCGTTACTCGGGAAGAAACCGGTGTCATGCTCGTGGACTCAATTTAAACTAGTCACTTACGTCCTAACGGAAGCCAGGAGAGTGATTGCGCGCTCTTGGCGTACGACCTCGGTCCCCTTTGCAGCAGTTAAACCAAGAGTCTCACAGATTATGTTCCTTGAGAAACTGTCGGCTATCCAGTCAGATTCATTGCCCAAATTCTAAAAAATATGGGAGCCCTGGGTTGTCTCCTATATGCCCCCAAATTTCCATTTAGATTTACTCACTATTTAACTCTCCTTCAGACCTGTAGCCCCTGTCACCCACCCTGCTTTTTCCCCCTCCTCCCTCTCCATCCCCTCTTCTTTGAACCAAGTCTCCTTCATAAGTTTCCTGTGTTCAGGCAAAGCCTGAAAGGTGGTATGACCACCGCTTTATAGTTTGTAATAGATGACTGATTAACATGCACTGTGTGTCTAGCTGTGTGCGGTCTATTTCCTGCGACATGCATAACACAGATTGTAATGTGCTTAAGTCCTTCTTGATTTATAGGGCTGTATGTACAGCCTTGATATCATTGTTTATGATGTTTATGTAAGCTGGAATTTCTTTATTTTGGAAAACAATAAAAACTTTTGAAATTAAAAGTGGGGGGATAAATCTTGCGGGACATTATGCCCTGGTACAGGGCTTCTAATGTAGGAGCTATGGCAGTAGCCAGTAATCGATACAATTCCGCCGAGTAACCGTCTGGGCCGGGAGCTTTGCAAAGGGGGGAGTGTTTAATGACCTCCAAGATCTCTGGCATAGTGATATCGCCATTCAACCATTCGAGGTCTTCAGCAGACAAAGAAGGTAATTTTAGAGAATCCAAAAATTGAGCACCAGCGGGCAAGTCACCTTGCTCGGGCCCATACAGTTTCCTGTAGAAGTCACTGAAAATATTGCCTACCGAGGAAGGGTCAGAGTGTACCACCCCCTTCTCGTCTTTTAGTTGCAGGATGTGGGAGCAAGTTCGCCCACCACGAGCCAGGTTAGCTAACAATTTGCCCGACTTGTTTCCAAACTTGAAGAGTGCCAGATCGGCCGGGTTTCTAAGTATTAGGTCATGTTGGTGCAGCCAATGGTCGCATGCATGTTTGGCCGCCAGCCAAGATGCCCTATGTGTCGGGGAGGGATCATGTTTGTAGTCAATGTACGATCTCCTGGCAGCTGTGCTCGCCTCCGCATACCTCCTCCTGATCAGCCTTTTTTTCACAGTAGCATATGCCAGTATACGTCCTCTCAAAACCGCCTTTGCGGTCTCCCAAAACAATACAGGGTCAGACACATGAGCAGCATTATCAACAGCGTAGTCACTCCACCATTGTTGAAGCTCCGCCTGGAACGCTCCATCTTTCGCCAAATAATTGGGGAACCTCCAAATGAGGGGGTGACTAGGCATACCAATATTTTTTAGAGTAAGCAGCACTGATGCGTGATCTGAGATCACCATATCCCCTATAGTCACAGACTCCAGTTTGGACATCAAGGAGGAGGATGCAAAGAACAGGTCTATACGTGACAACGAGCCGAGGGCGTGGGAAAAGTGGGTGAAGTGTCTTTCCAGAGGATGGAGGTGCCTCCAAGTATCTGTAAGGCCTATCGAGTCAATCCAAGTGGCCAAGCGAGAATCCTGGGGATTGCGATACGAGGTACCAGGTGGGACTTCCCACGATCGGTCCTCGGGCGTGGATGGTGTAGCATTGAAATCTCCGCCAATAAGGAGAAATGGGGAGGGTGGGAGTGACAAACTTTTTAAGAGGTGGTGATCCAAAAAGGACTTATTGTCCGCATTAGGGCCATACACATTCCAGAGGTGTAGTGGGTGGGGTCCCATTTGTAGAGAGAGCATAGACCAGGGGTAGCCAAACTCCGGCCCTCCAGCTGTGGTGAAACTACAAATCCCATGAGGCATTGCAAGATTCTCTCAGCCACAGACATGACTCCCGGAGAGGGATGCATCATGGGATTTGTAGTTTCACCACAGCTGGAGGGCCGGAGTTTGGCTACCCCTGGCATAGACCATCTTCCGTTGATCTGGTCAAAGCTGTGGGAGGTGATGGAATGCGCCAATGACTTGTTGATAAGGGTAATTACCCCAGCAGATTTCCTTGCAGCTGGAGCACCAATGGCCGTGCCCACCCAGGATTGTCGCATGCATAAAATATCGGGCTCTTTAAGGTGAGTTTCCTGAAGGGCGATGTCCACTTTCAACTTTCGCAAATGACGTAAAATCTGGCGTCGTTTATTAGGAGATCTCAGCCCCTTAACGTTCCAGGAAACAATGTTCAGGGTGGGTCCCATAACAACCACAGTGGGGTGTAAATGATAACTAGCGACAAATGTCGGCAACAAGGGGGGGCTCTCGCGGGCGTCCCAGCTCTCCCGAAGAGGCCCTGTGGCACAAGTGGATGTGCCCTTTGATGTGCAAAAGAATTAAGGGGTGATCCATCGGGCAGGAGATGAAGATGCAGGAGATTGACTCCATGAGTGTGTTGGCGAAAAAGTACTAACAACAAAAACACAAAAAAAGAAACGTCCATTGTAAGTGACTACCTTTTTTCCTGATGCGAGCGGAAAGGGGCTGACCACACGTGAGAGCGAGGCCGTTCTTCACGGGGTTGCGTCAGCGCAGTAGTATTCAGTGAGCTTGTATATCGCGCCATCCCGCCATCCAGAAAGGGCAAAAACTATCAGTCCTGGTGAAACTTGATGAACAACGAAAGAGTAGAGAAAAATCAAAACAAAAACAAAAGAGCGAAGTATCAGTAAAGTACCTGCAGAAGAGCACCATCCAGGCCCGGAACCTCCGCGCCGCAACATCACCAATCTTCTCCGTAAGTATATCCAAACTTGACCCCCTCTCGGGCTCTCAGGCCTTCTTTTTCCGGGGAGGGCTTTTTAACGGGGATGAAGAAGAGATATTCCCCCAGGAATCGAGGAACTTTTGGGCTTGCGTTGCAGATGTGAAGCGCCATGCTTTCCCATCCTCCGTGGAGAAGCGGAGCACTGCTGGATATTGTAAAGCGAATTTTATGCGGTGTCTAACCAGCGATTGGCATACCTCATGGAATGATCTCCTCAATTTAGATGTTTCCATAGAGTAATCCGCGAAAAGTTGTAGCTTTAGACCATCCACCACGAGGTTGCGCTGAGTGCGGTAGGTGTGGAAAATATTCTGTTTATCGTAGTAATCAAGGTAGCGTACTAGCACTGGTCTCGGTTTGGCATCATCTCTAGGGGATCCCAACCTGTGCGCCCTCTCAACCTTGCATGCAGCGGACAGGCCCAAGGCTTTGGGTATAGCGGCGGCGCAGAACGCCCTCAGATCAACAGGTTTCACGGATTCCGGGACGCCAATGACCCGCAGATTATTGCGTCTGGAGCGATTTTCCAAATCGTCCACTTCATCTTGCAAGGTGTGTATGCGTTTGGTCATGTCACCGTATGCACGATGTGACTCAGCAGCGTCATCCTCCACATTGCTAATGCGTTGTTCCATGCTAGTGATGCGTGTATTTTGCGCTTCCATGGTCGCATTTAGCTTGCCCAAGTGCAACTGTAAAGTGTCCGCAATAATTTTAGCCATATCAGCCTTAAGATGTTTGGTCACTTCTGCAGCGATCAGCTTATAATCAATGTGGGGGGTATCATGCATCAGAGAGTCCGACTCACTCTCTCCCATACCTGTGTCCTCCTCATGCTGCAGATCGTCAGCAGCCATCTTGGATCCTTCCCCTCCGTCTATCTGACTCCCTGGGAGGGCTCTGCGGGCTCTTGGTTGGCGCTCCAGATACCTGTCCATGACAGGGGAGCGGGTGGCAAGCTGTTGGTGACCGGCGGACGGCGGCCAAGGTTCCGGTATGATGTCTTTGGCGGTTGACAGGACGGAGCTCGGAGCCGCTCGTCTAGTGCATCAGGCGCCGCAACCGGAAGTTTTTTGTAAGTCTTAAAATCCTATGTGTACAATTGTGATTGGTTTTAAAGAAGTAACGTCACTGGTTTTTGTTCTCATTTTGGCTTATAAAAACTGACCCAGGAAGCTAATAAATTTGAATATAGGTTGCAGCCGTTTGTGGCCAATACCTTTATTCCCGAGATCTCGTTTTGCAGAACAAGTTTGACGGAGTTTTGACGGCAGTAGCAGAGGAGTAACGGGGCACGGCAGCGAGGGATGTGCAGAGGCACAGCGGTTTCTACTCTCCACTGGGTGCTGGCTGCAGCGTTCTGTTTCCCCTCTGATTGAACGGTACACAGACCGCAGCATGTAGCAGCTCCCAGCAAGGAGGAAAATGGTGGAGCAGAGTGCCACCGGTAGCAGAAAATAATCGAAAATCAACTTATCAATAATGAGAATAGCTGACAGCGATTCTCATTATCGATTATAATCGATTAGTTGTTGCAACCCTAATCTTGATTGATGGTAATGGAAGAGAAATCCACAAATATAAAAATAAAAACTAGCATACAAAAATTGGTGAGATATTTCTCAGCAGAGCTGGATGATATATACACACTGCATATTTATTTTTCTATTTTTTCCTTCATGGAGGGTCTGGATACGGTCAGTGGAAACCAGGTTCTATAAGTGTGCTAATAAACCTATTTTTTAATTCTTAAAAATGACACAGCAGAAGAGCAGAACTAATGCAAAGTAGGAGCCGGCAATGAGCAAATATCCACATGCATTCACAACTGCAAAGTATACCTTGCAAAAAGGTTGACAAATATAATTAAGAGTATGTACATGAAACTGATCCTATTTATATGTATAGTGTATAAACAAAATGTCCTTTAAAACAATAAAAAATATCAAATTAAATATTTACCTCTTTCTGAACCCATGAAGAGATTCTATAAAGAAAATACATAGATGAAAACAGTTTTAGTAACCAATATATCACTTCGAATAATTAAAACATGTATAGTATATGTCAACAGTTATCAGGATTGCTTAGGAAAAACATTTTTACATTCATTTTAAGCAACATATGACAGAAATAAATGTATTCAAATCATATAGAACAAATCTAGTCAAATAAAAAAACCTACCTTTGAGGGGGCATGACTTCGGCATTGGAAGAGTGAAGCCGCACGATTGCTGAGCTCCCGGGCCAGCAACTTTTACATATAGCCTGACAGCCTTACCTAACAAACCACACTGTTGCATCTTCATGACGTCGGGGAGAAAGAGTAACAAGGGACATTCCTCCACCTGCCCTGACAACGCCATGGATAGCTTCCTGAAAGGGAGTAGTCAGCCCCTGCTGCTCCTACACTTAAGATGGTGCCCGCGCCCCCCCCTCGAGGCCGGTGGCCTGTGATATCATCTGAGCCCTCTTATTCCCATGCTGCGGCTCGTGCGGTAGGAGAATACACCATGCTGCCCTGGTCTCCACTCAGTGATCTGTCCCCGGGGTTTACCCACTCTTTGCTCCCCTCTTATTGCTCTAACTCGGTTGAGGGTGATCGCGGGCATATACCGCTGTCCCATGCTGCCCCTCATGTGGATCTCTCCCAGCCTGTGTCACACACTGCTGTAGCAGGAGAGAGCAATGGACCTCAGCCTGTCAGTCTCCCCTCTGAGCTTCTGGCTGCTACTACACCTGGGGAAAAGGCATTGTGGCATCTTATCCAAACTCTACCATCTTGGAATGACTGAGGCATTGGCCTCCAGAGTGGAACATCCTTTACAACAGGACATTGCTTGTGTTCGTATTCAAACAACAGAGGTGGAGGCTAGAGTTTCTATTGTGGAAGAGGGTCAGTCCTCACTTCAAGGTGCTGTTAATGCTTTGGATCATTCCTGTGGAGTTATGTCTTCTCGCATTACTCATTTACAGTTGCTTGTGTATGACCTTGAAAATCACATCCATAGACAGAATATACGTATTAGGGGCATCTCTGAAGCCACTGCCCCTTCTGATTTGCGCTCTACTGTTACTGGCACTTTCAACATGCTGTTGGAACGTCTTGCTCGTTCGCAAATAGCGATTGACAGAGTACACAGAACCCTTGGACCCCGGAATTCCACCATGGCACAGCCAAGAGATGTGCTTTGCCGTCTACATTCATATACCCTCAAGGAGGAGATTCTTCAGAGAGCTTGGCAGAAGGGCACATTTGAATTTAATGGTGCTTCTATTCACCTCTATCCGGATGTCTTCCGCAAAACTTTGCAGATGAGGCACATGTTGCGACAGTTGGCTGTCCTGCAAGACCAAAGCGTGATGTACAATTGGGGCCATCCCTTTCACCTCATTGTCCGCAGAGGAAACTCATCATTTACCCTACACCACAGTGAGCTCTAGGCTTTCTTTGAGTTCGTGGACATTCCTGTGCTGCCTGTTCCCGATTGGCTAGCCGAGCCTTCTACTGCTGCACCTTCTCCTCCTTCTCAGGAACCTGTGAGCTGCCGCTGGTGGAACTCAAGCTGGTTACTGATGTCTTTTTCAATTTTTTTTAGATTTGGCTGTACCTATGCTGATTTACATTTTTATACTGCCTGGGTTTTTTCTTTGCCTTGCTTATTCTATCATTGTATGAATGGGGAGTGGGGCTAGCGGTGGTTCACCGGCCTGTGCTCTCCATCCTGGGGGGGGGGGGGGGGGCGGGCGCTTTCCCCGGCTGGGCCCTCCCGTCCTGGGGGGGGGGGACGGACGGACGTCCATATAGTGGCTTTGGGGGATTTTAGGCTGAGACAGTTTATTATCACTGAACAGCTGTCAGTGGGTTTATGTCTCTGGTTGTTTAGATTTCTTATGACTGTTGTTCCATTTCCTATACCAATGTTCCAAAAAACTGCACACCACAGCGCTCAGCAGACTCCCAATAGAATGTTCTCCAACATCAATTGTATGCAGGCTGCCGTCATCAAAAGGCCACAGGGAAGTTCTCACAAGAGATGCAAAACAAACAGACAGACAACGTCTTGTCCATGTGTATTACCGTTTATTAAATATGAACATGAAAATTGACATACAAAACTATTCACATGGTAATAGCTAGATTAAAGGTACAAGGCAGATTGCACGAAAGAAGGCTACCTTGATAACTGATGCATTTCGGGGGCTATTCCCCCTTCCTCAGAGCTAACAAGTTATAAAATAGGATACAAATAGAGTGGGCGAACACCATGTGACCTCAAACCAAACCCACTCAATCAGATGCAGCTGATCACCCTCACCTCATCAATAGGAGTTGAGCAGTGTGTAGTAGCAATAGAAGGTGCTGATTTGACACAGCGGATTTATAATACACGTGGTCACGTCCACAAAACAATCAGTGCCAGTATCCCACACCTTCAGCACGGACAGACAGGACGAGCACAACCGGAAATATATATTGAAAAGAACATGAGAAGTCCTAGATAAAAAACAAACGGCATGGCATCTATTTATCACATATATCTATAGATATATAGATTACAATTTTAATCAACTTTTTATATATAATACAGGTATTTATATGGGTAATTTCCCCCCCCCCCCCCTTTTTTTCTCACTTTTTGTTTTTTTACAATACATTTTTATTAAGGTTTTTCATAGTACAAGACAACATTACAGCATAACTAAGGCCCTGACCTTACACAGTGATCAAAACTGCCGGATAGACATAAAGAGCATAAGTCGGATAATAGGCAAAGTGCAAAACAGCAACACAGCATTTATATAAACTATGTATTAGGTATCGGACAGAGTGAAGACAGCATCTTAATATAAAATAGGGTAAAACATTCAGTAATGGGAATTGCAGCAAAAAATGCAATGACTAGTATGTCTTTGGTTTCCATTAAACATTAGGGATAGGAGGAAAATAGGCAGAACATACAAGATAGTGGGGGCAGGAAAACACAAACAGATATACAGAAACGAGGTGATAACGTAAAATGAGGCAGTAAAAAAGATAAAACATGTATATCAACCTGAGCATACGAATCTTGAGCACAGAAATAAGTATTCCTAAGGCATACGGTCATGTACCAGAAGCAGGCAAGACGGTACAAGGTTGAGGTACATAACAGCATAGAGAAGTATTAGCTAGACCTTAGAGTATCAATAAGTTAGAAATAAATTTGTAGTGCACCTACTATCCTGCAACCAACAATCCCAATCTTTAAGGAACCTGTATTCCCTCAGGTGTGCTCTAGCAAAGAGGTATTCAAAATGAGAGTTGGTATTATGACCAGGGTTTGAAAAATCCACTCGTCTGTGACGAGAGGACGGTGGAGCCCGACGAGCAGCTTCCCGGCCGGCCGTTGTAAATACACGGCCGGCTGGGAGCTTACATTCAAGCGATCGGGCGTCTCTAGAGACGCTCAATTGCTTGTATTAGCAGCTGTCACTGGCATTGAAGAGTCCAGAGATCCGCTGTGCCCGATGCGGCCGGGACTGGCACTGCTCTGTGACAGGAGATCAAAGGGAGTGTCATGCAAATTTTCAGTATTCAGCACTGTGGTACTTTGAATGTCATTAATTCCGTCATGCAACGCTGTACTAAAATTAATTTGATACAATTTTTGGGGACAGATAGAGCTTTCTTTCCAGTATGCAAACTCCCTTTGATCTCCTCTCAGTCCCTGAATGCAGGAAGTGATGTGTACTACATCACTTCCTGCATTCAGTGTCTCTCTCCAGCTAGAGAAGCTGATGAAGCAGATCTGTGCTTCATCAGCTTCTCTGGGGGTCCCTAGGTGACATTAGGGGTTTTGGAGACCCCTGATGTCTCCATAAAGAGGACCTGTCATGTAAATTGGCTATTACATAGGGGGATTCTTAGCCCCCCATGTAATAGCAATAAAGCTGTGTGTAAAAAAAATACTAAAATTAAAGAATCAAAAAAATAAAGCATAAAAAAACCCCCATTTTTTTTAAGTCCCCGCCCCCCACATACACACGCAGATATGCGTCGGGTGCGCCTACATGCGAAAACGACTATTGTGCCTCACATGTTAAATATTGCCGCAAATGTCGGAGTGAGAACAATACAATAATTTTAGAGCCATTAATCACTGATAACACTAAACTGATGAGCAGTAAAAGCGGTTTAATTGTCGCCTATGGGCGTTTTTTGCGATTTTGCGGGCGCACGCAATTTTAAGGCTTGACATGTTTGGTGTCTATTTACCCAACGTGACCCCGAATTTTATGATTTACTAAAAATATGGGTAAGAATAAATGTTTTATAACATAACATAGGGAAACTTTTTTTTTTTGCATTTACGGTACTTTTTTCATTATATAGTAAAAAAAAAAGAATAAACACCCTCCCGAGGTGATTATATACCTCCAAAAGAAAGCTCTATCTGTCCCCAAAAAATTTAACATGAATTGCAAGGCTATAGTCCGGTCATGCTGACTGGTGACATTTTTGACTGACTGGTGAGACACCATCAAATTTTTCAAGCCCTGATTACGACAATCAACATTTTTAACCACTTGAAGTCCGGGGTGTTAAACATTTTCAGTATTCAGCACTGCGGTACTTAGAATGTCATTTATTCCGTCATGCAACGCTGTACTGAAATGAATTGGATACCATTTTGAAGCCATAGCTTCCAAATACACACAGAGCGCACGAACCACATCCAAACAGTGGAGAGCACGTTCCTTCCTATGAACCGGCTTTGGGGACAGGGAAGGTTAGACAATGTCCTCATCCAGATGGAAGCCACGGGCAGCGGGAAAAGCACAGCCAAAGCAGATATTTGGCCCTTCACCCTGCTCAAGGCCAGCCCCTGAGCCACCCCGCGCCTCAAGAACGCAAGAATTCTGCTGACTGAAAACAAGCGCAGGGACCCAGCCTCACACCAGGCAAAATATGCCCTCTACATGCGATGGTAAATCTTACGAGAA